CCGGTCTCTGAGGAAATCACCAGAAAAGCTGGATTATATGAAGAAGAGTTTGGCATCAGGATTGGAGGAAGGCTTATTAGAGGGATTGAAGCACTTGCTGATGAACATAAGGGACTGTAGCCTTTAGTATGGATTACAACTCAATGTAAGGAAGACTAAAATTCTCACAACAGGGCCAGTAGGTAACATGATGGAGTAAAGGTTGAAATGGTCCAGGATTTCTTCCTTGGATCCACAATCCTTACTCATGGGAAGCAGCAATCAAGAGATCAAAAGACGTATTGCATTAGGTAAATCTGCTGCACAAGACCTCTTTAGAAAATTGAAGAGCAAGGGTGTTTCTTTGAGGACTAAGGTGTGCCTAACTAACCCAAACCATGGTATTTTCATTACATCTTATGCATGTGAAAGTTGGACATTGAATAAGGAAGACCATAGAAGAACCGGCACATTTGAATTGTGGTGATGGAGAATATTGAAAAGTACCTTGAACAGTTAAAAGGACAAGTGATCTGTATTTGAAGAATTAAGTCCAGAGTGCTCCTCAGAGACAAGAATGGCAAGACTCTGTCTTACATACATATTGTCAAGAGAAACCAGCTCCTGGAGGACATCATGTTTGATAAAGCGGAGGGGCAGAGAAAAAGAAGACGGCATCAAAGAGATGAATTAACCCAGTGGCTGCCACAGTGTGCTCAGGCAGAGAGCCAGTGTGAGGATGGCACAGGACTGGGCAGTGTTTCCTTCTGTTGTGCACATGGGTCAGAGCCTGCTCACAGCACCTAACAAGCACAGTGTATTATGTGAGATGACATTGTGAAAACGTCAAGAATGAGTGTTTGCACCAAAAGAAACATTCTTTGATGGTTGCCAAGGGTGGGACTGTCCTCATGTTGTCACACTGATGGGTTACATGTTGCTGTGATAATAGAAACTATGCCACCAGTATTTCAAATATTATCAGGATCACTTACGGTGAAAAGGTTCAGCAGAGCTTCCAGTCTAAGAACAGCCTATGAAGGTGATCTAGAAACATTGGAAGTCATCAAAAATGAAGTTTTAACACAAAGGTCAATATGCTGGGCATTTTTGAGATAAAGTGGACTGGTATTGACCATTTTTGGAATTAGATAAATACGGGGCTTACTGTGTTGGGAATGACAAATTCAAGAGGAGTGATATCACATTCATTAAAAAAAAACAACATTTTAAGATCTATTTTGGAGTACAATGCTGCCTATAATAGGATAATATCTATATCTTGACAAAGAAGAAAGACTAGCCATCCATTAAAGCTAAAAAGGTGAAAAAAATAGTATACTAACCTTCAATCTAAACGTGATTTTTTAAATGCATTAATAATTGGTGATTGGAATAAGAAAGTTAGAAACAAAGAGCATCGGTAGTTGGAAAATATGTCATATAGTGATAGAAATGGAAGCCCCGTGATAGAATTTTGCACGATCAATCGGTACCTTTTCCGAGTACATAAACAATGACTGCACACTTGGACCTTGCCAGATGAAATACACTGGAATCAAAGTAACAACATTTGTGGGAAGAGCCGATGGAGAAGCTCAACAGCATCAGCCCAAACAAGGCCAGGTTGTGGTCGTTAAGATTATGTGATAATTTGGTTGGCCGTGCTTCTCAGTGGGTTGGCAGTTAAATAACGATGCAGTTGTCCTCCATTTGGAGGTCAGAAGTGATTGTCTTCCATTTTTGCAGAATGCTTATTTTCACACAATAACCTGTTCTGTGGAACCTAAGTTTCAGTAAGTGAGGTACGGGTGTATAAAAAAGAAATGGTGGGAACCAATTACAAGAATCTTTGTATGGCCTCCTCCCTGGGGGATGGACAGCAGAGAAGAGGGCGGGGGGGAGACATTGGACAGTGTAACATGACAAAATAATAATAATTTATGAATTGTGAAGGGTTCATGAGAGAGGGGGGAGTGGGGAGGGAGGGGGGAAAATGAGGAGCCGATATTAAGGGCTCAAGTAGAAGGCAAATGTTTTGAGAATGATGATGGCAACAAATGTACA